GCGGTTTGACGCGCCTGATTACCTTTCATGAGGCTCCTATCTTTTACTCAATGCTTCTTCACTTGGAAGACACCTCCCACCATCATAGAACCTTCCGTGAAGCGGCCATTATTCGAGTGAGAGGACCTTACTTTAATCACATGGTCGGAGTCATTCATCTTAGGCAAACCGTGTTTTCCAGACAGTTCAATTTTAGAGCTAGATTTCACCCTCTTCTTCATGTCCAAAAAAACTAAAGCTCAAGCTGCCTCGTCAACGAACTTCGGAAAATTTCCATCTTCCATGCTTAGCATCACTAAGAAAATGAAGATGAATTTGAAAAAACACCTAAAAAATAAATACCCACACCACATATATAACAACTTTAGCACAAAAGTCAAGAAGTGATTAATTATTTCGCATTAAATAGTCATAAATATCACAAACATGTCTCAAAATATTGATCCTCTTGTCCTTTTCACTGATATATACATCGAGAATGTGTCAACACAAATCACATAGACATCATCTAGAAGACAAAGAAGGTGATGTGGTCCTGCGGGGCCTACCAATGGTGACCCCAGATCACATGCTCAGCTGGGCAGTCCCACGTACCGTAAAGACAGAGCGCCTTAGATGGATATGGGGAAGAACTCCCTTGAAGAATCCAACTAATCAAACCCATATGGACGAACCCGTCGCTTGCCAATCTGGATTGACCGGGAAAGAGCAACGGGTCCTACAGTTCCAAGGTGGTTGATGTAGAGCTTCAGCAAGTAGCCGCCCAACTTAAACGATCACCCACCTCGCAGCCGCCCGACATGAGGGCCGCTCGACCTGGTAGCCACCCGAACCATCGACTGTCCAATCTTATAGCTGCTCTGTTTTAATGGCCACCCAGCCCATACAGTCGCCTCACCAAACGACCGCCGGCCTCGCAACCCCCCGGCTTAATGGACGTCTCGCCTAATGTCCGCCCCACCATATTTATTGATTCTACAGGCCGAATTAATGCATGCATTAAAATGCCTCCGCCGTGTCTATATACTTTAGGAGTACAATAAATTCCTATAAATAGGTGGTCCATATCATTAATAAAAATTACACATATCCACTCTTACTCCTCCAATATATCCCACAAAGTATTGAATTCAAGACTTATTCGCACCACGTGATTTTATTGACATAAAAATAGGAAATTGATATCAATAACGGCTATTAGTATTATTACTCTCTTTTTTTTTATTGACTCAATCATCTTCCCCCGCTCTTAAATGCTTCCCCTTCGCTTAAATCTACATTTCATTTCTCTGCCTTCTCCCTAACTCTCCCTCCCTCAATTCTCAAACATCAGAATCAGAGATATTATGGCTTTCAGCATCTCTATTGCATGCTTCAACTTCAGAACAAGTCCAACATCATCTCCTCATCTTTCTCCTCCTCCGGCGATGGCCAGAGCTTCCAACATCTCCATGGCTTCAACCAAGTAATCAATCAATCTTATCAATCCCAACACATATTCTTTTTCTCAAAACAATTATTTTTTTTCAACAGAACAACGAAAGAACCAAAACCATTCATGCCAGCAAAACTTGTACAACACCAAGTGTCTCACTCCACCCCAAAACCAAAAACAGAAGAAATTTTCAAATCCTTAGAAAACTGGGCAGAAACCAACATGCTCAGTCTCCTCAAACCCGTGGAAAACTCATGGCAGCCTCAAGACTTTCTTCCAGACTCTAGCTCCGAAGATTTCTTCCAGAAAGTAATGGAGTTGAGAGACAGAGCAAGAGAAATACCTGATGACTATTACGTATGTTTGGTTGGTAATATGATAACAGAAGAAGCTTTGCCAACTTATCAGACATTTTTGAACGGTTTAGATGGAGTTGGAGATGAAACAGGTGCAGGCTTGAGTCCATGGGCTGTATGGAACAGGGCTTGGACGGCAGAAGAGAACAGACATGGAGATTTGCTGAAGCAGTATCTGTATCTGTCGGGCAGGGTGGATATGAGACAGGTGGAGAAGACGATACAGTATCTCATTGGCTGTGGAATGGTAAGAACTGAATTACTTGATTTTTTAAATTATTATTTAATAATATATACCATAATTGTGAAGGCCATATATTAACTTCATTAGTAAATGTTCCCAAGCTTGTTTTTTTAATGGGCTAGTTGGAATAATTTTTATAGTTTATATTTTATTGACATGTTATTCTATTTTGTCATTGACATGAACATATTTGATACCTTAAAAAAAGTAAATATAAATGTACATTTAAAAATAATTATTGAGAAAATAAAAAAAATGTGAAATAGATGCATCTTTATATATAGTAATGAATGAGGTTATTATAGCTTGAATTTTAAAAATAATTGGAAGCTTTAAAGCATATATTAGAAAGTCAAATGATATATGATTTTGATATGCTTATAGTCAAAATAAGTGACTTTATTATAGGAATATAATAAATACAATGTAAATATTGAACTAGTTGAAGTCTCTCACCAAACTTGTCTCAAACCTCCTCCAACATGATCTCTAATATCGAACTTGTTGTGGTCTAATAAATCCTCCTATAAAACTATAAGAGAATGTTAACATTGATGTATAGAAATGATTTAAAGTGAATGAAGGTGTTTGAAAGGAATTAGTAAGGGTCATTGACTTAGAAACATGAACTAGGTAAAATCAAGATATAATTGACCAACTTTATTTTTTTTTCAGATTTCCAAATTTGTAAGAAAACAATTAATTTTCACTTAATAATGATGATGAATATAACATATTTTATTAATGAAAAGTTTTATTATTTAGATAATTATAAAATGGAAAAATAGAAACTAAAAAAGTACACAGAAAGCAAACTATGGTTTAGTTACTCTTTATTTTGTGCTAAAAATAAAGTGTTAAAATATATCAAATTTAATATACAAGGGATGTAGCTCAATAATTAAAAATTTAGGATTTTTCTAAGGTTTTTAGGTCATCCAAATGTAGACAAAACCTTAACTAGGTGGGATTAGGCATATTTCTAGACAACTTTTGTAAAGGGGATAAGAAGAAATTTAAGGAGGATAAAAATAGAATAAAAAATATTCAATGAAATTCTTAAAAAATATAAACATTTTAAGAAAAGAAATCCTAAAAAAATAAAAAATGAAAATAAAAAAAAAAATACCAAACTCACCAAAGACTAATTGTATGTAAGGATCATTAAATAATTCCCCTTGAAGCAGTCATCAAGCCCCTGCACCACTTGAGTCTTCCTTTCATTTTTTTAGACTTTTATTTGCAAATCTGTTTCCTTTTTACATCAAAAATTTTAAAGCCATATAAAAAGCATTTTCTCTGAGAAGACATAACTCTTCACTTCAAAAATCAATTACAAAGAAAAGAGAGAAGTTGGAGTGATTAAAGTGGCTCTTTGACTTGATCAACATGATGCCGCTCTAAATTCCTTACTTCGATCCCCCCCATCTCCTTAGTTGAATTTGATATTGACCTTCACCTAAGCATTAAAAATGACAAATAAACAAGAATATTGACTTATGGTTAAAGCTTACGTGAAATAAAGTCATAAAGCAACAAACAACACTGAAACATACACATTAAAATATGGAATAGACTCAACAATTAATAAACTAATATAAAATTATCTTCAAAATAATTCCAAGCTTTCCATTTAGCATGGCTTATAGTAATTAAATCTCTTAAATGTGAAGCTTGACTTTTAAATTGTGCTCTAGTAGTAGGTCCCACATTATTGTTTGTGAGCCCCACCTTGTGTCCATCCTCTGTCATTGTGGGACCTATCTTGGGTTCACCTTTTATGATCGTGAGCCCCCATATTGAGTCCAACTCCTATAATTGTGAGACCCCTCTTGTGATTGTTGAATGTACATTGTGTCTAGCACATGTGATTATGGGCCCCATCATAGAGTCAGTATGATGCACCACACTATAACTTTTAGATGACCCATCAATCAATATTATATTATTTTATTTTAGAGAATAAATTTTTTTGTATATATATTATTTGTAATGACAGAAATTGTAGGCTTACTATTGATAGAGGAAGTGCAATGAATGTTATCTCAATTCATGATTTGATCTCACGACTAAACAATGCACAAATCCTTTCTATATTAATTAGGACAACTCTACATCTCTATCCATCTTAATATAGTGTCTCATTTTTACCAAAAAAATGTTGGTAGGGGATTTTTATGTGTCGCCACACATCATAGAACATTTGAAAAACTTCTATATAGATGACCGAGAACAACAATTTAGTCGGTTTGAAATTTTTTTGCTTGAAGGTTTTGTTTGAAATTGTGATTGTTTTTATTTGAATGATTGTGATGTTTTTGTTTAAGAAGTCATTGTTTTGTTTAAAAATTTTATTGTTTTGTTTGAATTTTTATTATTTTGTAAATTTTTTGGTGTTTTATTCATTGAGTTTTATGAGTATTTTTTATTGCATCAAGTGTAGGACACCCTGACGAAATTACATTTTGCCCAATAACAACTGAAATAGTCTAAGGACAAGGACCTAAAGACTAAAAAGTCTAATGGTTTTAATTAATTAGTTTTATTTTTTTTTCCTATTAAGTTTTGGCCCTAGTCTTCATTTCAAGAATTTAGGTTTTGATTGGATTATAAGAAAGTTGACGTTTGAGATTTTAAAGTTTAATTGAGTTTAATTTTAAGTTTGATCTTTAACAACCCAATTTTTCTTTAAAGATTTAAAGATTCAGTAATTGTCAGACTACCATCTGAATTCTGAAAGTGAATTATATTTTTTGGGAATGTTTTGTTTTCTCAGTTTATGAGTTTAGAAGTGATGCGAGGATTTAAGATTTCACTTGAATTTGATTCGAGTAGATTCGACATAAATGCAACCTCAAATTGTGTAAATGAATAATTCATTTTCTTTTTAAGTCTCAAAGAGTCAACAGTAATTCAACTCCCATAAAGTTTTAGACATATTTTCCTTGGAAATAACATTTCTCTATGAAATATAGTTTTATCAAAGGCATCAGATGTTCACCTTTGTAGTCCACTAACTCGCGAGAATCAAGGCATCAGATGTTCACCTTTGTAGTCCACTAACTGGCGAGAACCTCCATGATACACTTTCTCTATCATGAAGAGAGGTAGGATGATAGTTAAAAAGAGGCACAATGTTCAAACTTAAGACGAGATTCAACATGGAATGCAATCACACATATTCGTATCACATTGACTCCTCTAAACTATCTTATTACTTGTCTAATTAAATTTACATTTCCAAAGAGGACTCAAATGATGCGTACAATTATCATGAGAGACTTTCTTGATTTATATGAGCATGTAAATGTCATTTTAGGATAAATTTTCATTAATGTTAAATAACTTAGTTTTTTCTTCAATTCCCATGCTCCTAATTCAAAAATTTGTATATTTGAAATATTTTCACTTTCCAAGGATATATTTTTAAATTAATTAAAGAGTTAGATATTCAATTCAACTTTACCCAACACTACTTTCCAAGGATATATTTTTAAATTAATTAAAGAGTTAGATATTCAATTCAACTTTACCCAGCACTACTCATGAATATAATATCTTAGGAATTTTCTTAAGAATGTTTAAGTTTTATTTTTCTTAAGAAAGTTTAAGTTTTATTAATTAGAAGATATGTTAGACACCAAATTTTGATTAATGCTCACCTTAAGCTTCTTCTCAGGGAGACAAATAATTTACTTCAATATTTCTTTTTTTGAGTTTTCTTTTGCCACACTCATCTGAGAATTACTATATCTAATTGAACATTTTTCTTTTAAGCATTTCAAATGTCTAATATCTTATAATTGATAATTCTTAAATTTTTCTTAATATGATTTCTCAGCGTATTATAACTCATTCGAAAATTAAGATTCAATTGACTTGGCTCTGTTAACACTTAAAAAGTTTAAAATGACATTGGTTAGTTTTTAATATTTCAATTGTGCCTGTTTAACTATTTTGAAACCCTTTTGTATTAGGCGAAAGTTATCAATGTGAAGCACTTAATTATTAAAATTAATACTATTTTTCCTTTTAATTGGCATTTATATATTAAAGTCAGATTGTTAGGATTCCCTTCATGAGTCGTAAAATATAGTCCATAACTTTGCTATGAGAATTTCCTTAAGGTGAGTAAATAAGAAAATCCATTCCTTAAACATGTAATGCAAGACTAAAAAATATTTCACATAAGGAATAATATCATAAAGAATGTCAACATATGATCATAACTAGCTCAAATGAAGACAAGCAAATCATGTAACACATCATCACACAAAAGAAAGTGTTCATAAGGAGTACAAGATACCCTGATACATCAATAAAAAGATAAGCATGCCACAAAAGGCAGAGCGTCCATAATGTCTCTATTTATCACTGTCCTCCCCCATCATCCATAGTGTGGAGCTCAAACGGTGACGGTGTTGGTGGCCTCTAACGTGATTTGGATTGATTGGGACATATTGAGATCTTTTGTTAGTACTGGCTTCATACTCCTCATGAATTTCATAGTTTGAATTTGACAAAAAATATTGATTTAATTGATGTTTCTTTCTTTGATTTCCATGTCTTTTAAAATAGATTTAACTCCAAGGTTTATCATGTCTTGAATTTTTGGCATCTTCTCTGAATTAGATGGAGCGATGAGGGGTGTATTCCTATATCATCCATTTGGAGAGGTGATACACAAGGCTTAGGTTGTGATTTAATGACCACCTAGGGTATGTCCTCTTTTGTAATTTAAAGATGTTGTGGTATATAGGGAAGAGCATCATGTGATAATCGATATGGAATCTAAGTTTTTTAAAGGTATTTTAGTACAAAAAGAGATGCTTCAGGCGATAATCGATGCGATGGGTACACTGACAATCATATGAAGACCTATCTTGATTGCCCTGATGATGTCTTTTCGTGCTTCAGGATCCTTCTTTTCTCCTTTTGATACATAATTAACCCTACGACGTAGAGGATTTCTATAAAAAAGGATCCTTCTTGCTTTGCTAAAT